ATTTATTATTTTAAATAAAATATCTAAAATTACCATAATGTGATATGTGTCACTTAACGATCAAATTTAATGATAGTTAATGTCCAAACACCTAAAAATATACGGAGAAAATATTAAGCATTTGTTTTTAATGAAAAATCTTTAAGCACTAAAACTTTTGCGGCCATCTTAAACTTCTAAGAATTTGTCTCATTTTTTTTTACCAATTTATAGGTTTAGGTTTTTTCTTAAAATAATAATATGAAATTAAACATGATAATTTTGTTATATTTGGGGGTTCGATGGTTTATTTGAATTTGAAGGGTTTAAGATGTTTGTTTCAAAAATTAAATGGCAAGAAGTAATTTTTGAGAAGAAAAACAACATATCTTAAAAAAATTAATTTCATTGATTGGTCGTGAGAGTGGATTGGAGCATAGAACATCAAGTTTTTAGATTACTTTTGTTAGTTTTAATTAGATTTTTTGAAAAACAATCTAAGGATTAGAAAGATGATGATTGAAATACGAATGTTTTGGTATCAATATTTGGTTAATAACAATCGATGATGAGAAATCATTGATTGACAATGATAGTTGAGGGTGCTGGTGATTTTTTTGACAAGGACCATATTGATACCTAAATTAAAGTTAAGCGTAAAAAAATTAAAGCGTTTCATTGTTTAGTAGCAAAAATAGATGAACAAAAAAAAGTTAATAGGAACATTATCACTCTGTTAATGATTTAACGATTCAATGTCTTAATTAGGGATGGGCATAGGACCCGAACCCGACGGGTTTCGGTCGGATTTTTTTAAAAAAAGTTGGGGTCGGGTCGGGTTTAGGGTGAAAAATACCCGACCCGAAAAAATATAATTTTGCCTTATATATTTTGAAATAATTACAATAATACCCCTCTATATATTATTTTTTCAATTAAGTCGTTGATTTTATTGAATAAAAATAATATTTTTTTATTGTTTCGGGTCGGGTCGAGTTTTTAAATTATATATCAGGTAGGGTGAAATCTTGTTTTGGTCGGGTTGGGTCTCGGGTGGAGGATCTCTTATTTTCGGGCCGGGTCGGGTGGACAAAAAACCCGACCCATGCCCATCCCTAGTCCTAACTGAATCTGAAACTAAAGTTCAATTCTAAAATTGAAGTGTCTTAAAGTTTAATAAAGAAATCTATACTTCAATCACATTCAATGTAATTTACCCTACACAATTTTAATTGTTGAATATATGAAATTTAACCAAGAACTATTAAAAAGAACAAGAAGACTTCTCAGTTTTTACTTTTAGATATTTCTGAGGAATCATTGATGTGAATTAGGATAAAAAGTAAGCCAACGAAAACCCTAGAAAAGCAGAGAGAGTAAGAGCGCGAGTAAAGGCCGTACACCCGTTGAATGGCACATTCCACCCATCTCAACCAACCATTCTTGAAGTCTTAATAATGGAAAAGAAAGGAGGTGGTGTGCTTGAGATAAGGTTGCACTCTCCAATCATATGATTATATTGTCTAGTTGAGGGAGGGCCATCCAGCCAGGTGTTTTGCAATTCAAGTGAAGATGGCCGCTTGGTTCATGACATGAATTATCATTCAGCTGGTAAATCCCCTCCCCCTCTACTTAGTACCAAAGATGTGACGAGCACCACCACAGTTTTGCCAATCACAAGCTGGAAAGGAAAACGAGTGTCAAAAGCAAGTCAACTGTCACCATGGCCTGTGGATTCAATTCTATCTCCTTTTGGAAATTACATTACTAACAAATTAGGTTCCGATTAATTTTTGTTAAATTTTATTAAAATGCATTTTTTTAGAAAGCGAGTTTGTTTGCCTGACGATAAATTCAATTTCTCATTGACCTCGTGTTATGCAAAATGCGGTGTATTTTTCTTAAAATTTAATGATGGATCTCGTGTTCTACCGAAAGTAATGTCCTTGTGTAGAACGCGATGTTATCTTACGTGGGTTGTTTGAGAGTATTTTTCTAAATAATGGTTGATGGGGGTTATTTTCCTAATAAACGGTTTCTAGGTTTTTTTAATAAAATTGTCTATTTTTTTTCTTCCTTGTTTTTCTTTAGATAATTGTCAACAACTTGGACCGTCATTGACAATCAATCGTCGCTCATCACCAATCATCATTCATTATAAGATCGGTACAAAAACATTCACATTCCACTCCTCTTCCTCCTCATCAGATTGGGTTTTCACGAACTTCACTAAGAATCTATGAAAATCTATCTGAATGTATGTATTCTCAAAAGAATGTCTCTCATCATTCAAATTTTTAAACACTCTAACCCCTCAAATATGAGAAAATATCTAAATCCCAAAATGGTAGATTTTATTTGTTTGTTGTTTGCTTAATTTCGTGAGTTGTAAAGATTTTTTTTAAAAAAAAAATTCTAAACGATAAGTAGTAGATGACAATGAAACCAATTCATTAGCTTTTAGGATGATGGCAAAAAGTGTTGGAAAATGATAGTTTTTTATGGTGATCGAAAATGAATTAAAAAAATTCCCTAATTTTGATGAAGAAAATGACGATATAGAATTCTTTTTTGACTTTAACATCAACTCTAAAATTATCGTATCATTAAATAGTTTTAAATTTAATGGTCCGACACTTCAAATTGAACCCAAAATTAAACTCCAATACTTGCATCAAAATATTTTAAGATTTAGTGTTAAAATTAATATAAAATTTAAAGTTTAAATATATTTTTTGAAAGAAAAAAGAAAATGAGTTATCTAAAATAATGCTTAAAATTCGATATAAATCAGAATTAAAAGAATATTTCTATAGAAGAATTAAAAGAATATTTATTGTCAATGCACTACACGAAAATCATCTATCAAATATAAAGTTAGGTAACAGATATTTAATAGTAATTGGTTTAAGGATAGCCATGCATGTATTATTTCTTAGGTATTAGATATTTGTAATAATTTTTTTCTTTTGAACTCAGATATTTGTAATAAATTAATCTCGAACCAAATCATTTTAGTGGTTGTTATTCTTAGACGTTTTGAGTCCGAGCCCCAACGATTGCAAATATGAGTAATTGAACGTTCATTGTCAAATTATTATGAGTATATGTCGGGTAATGAACATTCCTTCTTGGTGTCGATTGGCATCATTGAACATTGGAAAACAATATCCTTAACAACAGCAAAAGAAATGTCATTTCCCAATCCTGACGTAAGAACAAAACGTGTAAGAGAACCACTGCTCTTTCATGTGTCCCCAAGCTACTGCATTTGAAGATTCCCCACTAAAATTATGATAGTAGTCCACAACACTTTTGGATTCAAAAGCCATTGAATATGAAACTTTAAGGAGAGTTGAGAGGTCGAAAAAGCCAGGTGTTTTGGGAAGTACAAAGGACAAATAGAAAGTGGAAGGCTATCAGCTGCATAAATATTCCTTGGAATTGAACTTTTGAACTCTAAAAATGCAACCCAAAGTCGATATACCAAATAGAACTTCTTTCGAATATAGTAACAAGCAAAGTGGGTTTCGGAAAATTCGTTGAGACAATCGATGCACAAAATAATCATATAAAACGTATGAACGCAATATACATTGTAATGTTTGTCGATTATTGGATTTTTTTTTCTTTTGACTTGGATGAACCCATGATCATTTAACTTGGAAGCATGCAGAAGTACATATTACATAACTAAAATGGGGAGGTTGAAATTGAGTCAGTATAGCGTCAAGGTCTTGCATGAAAGTTCTAAACTCAGGCACCGGAATCCCTGGATGTGCAGGTGCACTAGCATTTTCAGAGGGGGAGAGGTTGTGCACTATTAGCTTCATAACTTTCACTACCAGTTCCTTCTTGCATCTCTTGTTCCCCAACTCTTCGCGAATTCGAAGATTCCGACATCTATTGTGACATACATAATAATAACATTACAACTAGTAATGAGTGTCATCAATTTTACTCTAAATTAGAAGCATGCAAAAGTACGTGTTACATAACTAAAATGGAGGAATCCGATACAAACACAAGCTTATGAAACCCATTCAAAATGAAAGAAAATCCATCCAAAGGTTTGACGTGTTAATACTCTTATCTCCTCTTACGAGTTGATGAAGCTAGTTTTGAGGTATGTTATTCATCTTCTCTAAATAATGTTTTTACATCTCAAATTTTTGAACAAACATCTCAAACCCTTCCAATATGAGAAATCCCACAAACCAAAAAAGTAGTAATTTTTTGTTTAATTTAGTGAGTTTTAAAGAGAATTTAGGAAAATCTAAATCTACAAAGTAGTAGAATACGGTGAGATGAGTTCATCAGTATTTATGATGACTGAAAAAATGTTGAAGAGTGACGTTTCCCGTGGTGACTAAAAATGAGTGAAAAACTTCTAACTTTGACGAAAATAATAACTTTGACTAAATTGACATGTCATCCGATTATTAATGGGTTACAGTCTAATAATATAATTGCATGCATAACAAAATTTCGTGCTACAATGGTATCTATTTATAATTCAGTGGCAAATTCGATTAAAAAATAAAGTTTAGTGGTATCTCGTATACTTTATTCAAAATAAGAAATGTTTTTATCTATAATTTGAGGCATTTGTTACATTTGGCCCCACACCGCACAAAGGGAAAAAAAATCTTAGGACACAATAACTTCACAATCTGACATATAAGAACATACCTCAACTCAACATTCCTTTGCTCCAATTCAAGATCTCTTGAATTTCCTGTGATACATGAGAAACCAAAATGAAAACCCTTCTTTTACTGGTTTCAAAGCTTTATAGTCTATAAAAAAAATTGCGAAACCCCAGAAAATTACATTAGCTATGAACTCAAATAAATCACTTCAAAAGACCCATAAACGCAACCCCAATCTAGCTATATAAAACACCACCAACATCTTCCAAAGAAGAAGCTTAAAGATCAGACTTTGGAAACTGGAAAAAACACCCCATCAAAGGCTTTTCTGAAAGTGTTGAAAATATGAATGAATGGATGATGACGATGATGTCGAGGCGAGGAGGATTTGGAGGCAGCATAAGGTGTCAAGAGTGTGGGAACAAAGCTAAGAAAGATTGTGGGTTCATGAGATGCCGTACTTGCTGCAGGAGCAGAGGACTTGATTGCCAAACTCATGTTACAAGCACTTGGGTTCCTGCCTATAGAAGGCGTCAAAAGCACCCACAGCTTAACCCTAAAAGGCTTAGACAAAATCCTCCTTCAGGTACCCTAGCCAATACACACAGATCTATATAGTATTGTATATCAGTTTTTGTGTAGTTGAATGGAACCCTAGGAGATGTTTTCTCTTATGATACTGGATATGTGTCACCTTTTAGGGTTAAAAGTGGGGAATTATCCCGCTGAAGTGACTTCCGCAGCGACGTTTCGATGTGTTCGAATGAGCTCCGTTGAAGATGGAGGTGATCAGTATGCTTATCAAGCAACTGTGAATATTGAAGGGCATGTGTTTAAGGGTATTCTCTATGATCAAGGCCCTTATCAATCACTAGGCGAATGCTCCTCTAGAGAAACGCATTCACAGCAAAATCAAATGAACGCTGCTGCTCTAACAACAGCTGCTGTTGCTGTTACTTCTGCTGCAGAAAGTCATCTTCCTTCAGCATATGCATCTTCCTTTAATGCTTTCATGTCAGCTGGTACGCAAGCTTTCTCCACCCGAAACCTTAGTAACTCTTCGTATACGAGGAATGAAAGGGAAATTTTGCTTTAGGAAAGCCCTTTTTGTTTGGTCATACTAGCTCATCAGTACGTAGTTGCCCTAGAACTTATATGATATAAAATAATCAAAGTTTAAAGGTTGAGTTTACATGATTTTAAATTGTTATCTAAACTTAAAATCATTTTAAATGCGAGTTTAAATTTAACGTATGCATGTTTAAAACACATGAGTTTAACATACAAGTACCTATCTAATAAACACTTAGGATCTCACATGTAAGAGTTTTAATTAACAAGTAAAATCTAAATTGTTCATATATTAAGCACGCATATATTGCAAAACAATTTGATAAATGTATTTTTATATACTAGGTACAGCTGACATTAAACACTTAAAACTATATAGTTTTTTTTTTTACAAATCTTAATTCTAATCCTGCTAGAAGGGAGGGAAATGAGAGACTCTAACGAAAGGAATGAGTGTTTCTAGTGGGTCTAATATCGATGTGTTGAAGTTTAGGGACCGTTTAGAACTTAAAAGGTACTTGATAGTTTGGTGCAGTTAGGGGAGGAATGACCTAGTTTATTAATGCAGAAACTTAAAATGGTATATTTCCTGTTAAAAACCATACTTGATAAATTTTCTTTTCCAAGCATCGCAGAAAACCATAGAAAACGTTTCCCTATGTCTAATAACATAGCATACAATCCATGGTTAGGAGCCGAACACATCTTTAATCGACGTCTACTTTAATCAAAATTTGGCACTTGAATCACCAATAGCTAAATGTTGTTACGAAGCATCAGCTATGCTCTTGAGATGAATAATTTATATAGTTTACAAGGTAAAAAAAAAACATTTACACTAACTATAGGTAAAAGACTGATGCCCTTAGAATGAACCCCATATATATATATAACATTTAATGCCAAACTTTTAGTTTTTTATTTTTTTTGAATTATTAAATGAGTGAAAATAGATGGTTGGGATTATATCATTGTTTTTTTATGGAGACATTTTCTCATTCCCTACTGTTTATCTCAATTATCTATTTCTCGTCTAACAGTCTCTAGAGGTATAAACAGGGATGGACATAGGATTTTATACTAGGGGACGAACTTTAATGATAATTTTAGATTTTTAGGACGGGCGACTGCCCCACCCGCCCCTGCCTAGGTCCATCACTCGGTATAAAGCTAAAAATTTTTGTACTATATAATTGAACGAAGGAAAATTAAAGGCTGAGGTCAACTCATGTTTTCTTTTCGGTGAATATTTCTTTTTATATATATATATATATATATATATATATATATATATATATATATATGAGTTAAAGCTTCACTTACTCTTAATATAAAACTTTTAATTTTACATCTTTATATAATCATTTAATGTGTGGAAATAAACACATAAGATTATCTCTTTGTTTTTTTTCAAGCGAATATCTTCTATTTTTTCATGTCTGTCATATATATATGGTTTTCGTATGTTTGTTTTTTTGGTGGGGTTTGTTTCTGTTGTGGTTCTTCACTGGTTTGGTGTTGAAAGGGGTCTTCGTGCTGATTTAGTGTGGCCCTGATGCTGTTTGGTGGCTGAGCTGCTGTCGCTGTTGGACTCTCTTGTTTTGGCGTCGGAACTTCTTCTTTGTAATCTTTGATCATATCCGTTCGGCTACATTCTCTTTATCTTTGCTTCGGTGTCAGTTCCTTGTATTTTAGATTATGTATTCTGAACTGTTTACGGACAATATATTTACGACTGACGCACTTCTTTTGTACTCCTACGACTCAATTATAACGAAGGTCTTAAAAAATATAATCTTTTTAACTCATTGAATGATTTAAATGATTAAAAAGAATATCTAACTAAATACCATTTAATTTTATTTAAGTACATTAATAAATACAAATTTTACATTATTAATATACATGCTTAAAATAAAAAATATTTTTAACGAATACATTATTTTATATTAAAGGAGACGAACTTAAATTTATAAAATTTCAGGGAACGAAAACATGTTTTCAATAGAAAATACAGAGAAACAATCTAAAATATATGATAATTTTAAATTTTCAGGAGGTGACTATCTCCACCCACCCCTCGATTCATCCCTAACGCAAGTACGAGAGGGTTAGAGCCATGTCGGTGCTTCATAGTATTTATGTATCAACATATATTTTCATGAATATACATGTTTTATAAAGAAACATGAAATAGAATCCCTCAAACAATTTCAATGATTAAGGACAGCGTTGTTTTATTTTCGGTTCGAGCAGTTATGTTTATAGAACATACACGTTGTTAGTGACTCAAAAATATTATGAGCAGATACTACAATATAATCATCCAAACTATTTAAAGAAATAAAAAGAAAAAACTGAAAATAAACTATGAAAATAAAGAGATAAATATATGACAAATATTTAAAGATATCGATAGGCCCCGACCAAATCATATCAGCAATGGATAGGGTAATGGGCTAAAGTGCAGCTTCACCGCCAACGGGCTGCAAACTCGAATGTTAAAACAACCCAAAACTTAAGCCCATAGGCTTACGCCAACTATGGCGCCAAAATCCCCTACAATTTCCCGCCAAATATGTTCCTTTTCTCCAACCAGCAGGCGGTTCCGTTGGTTTTTTTTTCTCACTTCAGTCTCAGAAAAGCTTCCCTCGATTTTTGCCGCTCTTCTCTCTTAGCCATGGCTTCCGATTCTTCTCCCGTTAAATTCGACAACGGTAAGTCTCTCTTCTCCTCTTCGAAACCTTGATTGTTTTCTATATTTGAAGTGTAATTTAACGGGTTGTTATTATCTAAATCATTTGTTCAGGTCCTTCCTCTCCTGATGATTCCTTCTCAAGCCCCATCCCTAACACCTCTTCACCAGCTCATCTCCGCCGGCGAGGTCGCCGTCAAGCCTCCACTCCTTCCTCTGCCGCCGCAACCCCACCTCCAAATCCTTCTCGTTTTGCCAATTCTGCAGCTACCCCAACTCCAACCCGGTCCGCCAAGCGTGGGCGCCGCACAGCCAATTCCCCGACTCCTGCCGCCGCCGCCGCCACTCCATCCTCCACGGACGATTTCCCACCGCCATCTTCAGAAGGCGGGGATGATATGGAGGAGGCGACCCCTACCTTCGTGTGGGGTACCAATATTAGCGTTCAAGATGTGAAGAATGCAATTCAAATGTTCATCAAGCATTTCAGAGACCCACAAGAATTAAGCAATGATATTTATGGAGAAGGAAAGTATACGAGAATGATACATAGAGTGCTTGAAGTTGAAGGAGAGTGGATTGACGTTGATGCTCATGATGTTTTTAATTATGACTCTGATTTGTATAACAAAATGATGAGGTATCCCCTGGAGGTATTTTTGATATCGTCTTGATGGACATCGTTAGTTTGATTAATCCTCTGTTTGATAAACACGTTCAAGTTCGGATTTATAATCTGAAGAGCTCTACTTCCATGAGAAATCTCAATCCATCCGGTCAGTTTTCTTTTATTTTGCATAGATTGTTCATTATTGTGTCTTTGTGTGTTGGATTGATTTGGGTTTCTTTGTTTTGGTTGGTTTAGATATTGAGAAGATGGTGTCGTTGAAGGGGATGATTATTCGATGTAGTTCAATAATTCCCGAGATCAGGGAAGCAGTGTTCAGGTGTATTGTTTGTGGTTACCATTCTGATCCTGTTGTTGTTGATAGAGGTAATTGGTCTCTGCGATGGTCCTTTTAGAAATTTGATTTTTGGAGTAATGTTGCTAATGGATTTGTCTATTGGTTAATGTTTCTACAAGGGCGAATAACTGAGCCTACTTCATGCTTGAAGCAAGAGTGTCTGGCCAAGAACTCAATGACATTGGTTCACAATCGATGCAGGTATCTACTGGCTTAAATTTCAGTAGGCTTTACTGTAAGTGAACTTGCTTAGTTGCAGTGATGTTAGGACCTGCTTAAAATTTTATTTTCTTGTTTTATAGGTGTGTTTAGGCTTAGATATGATTGAATTCATTTTTACTTGATACTTCATTGGTTACTTTAGGATCAAACAATTATTCATATTTGAGTTATTCTGAGACCAAAACTAATTGGTTCTATTACCCTCAAACATCAGGTTTGCTGATAAGCAGATTGTGAGGCTCCAGGAGACACCAGATGAGATCCCTGAAGGAGGGACACCACACACAGTGAGCTTATTGATGCATGATAAGCTGGTGGATGCCGGAAAACCTGGGGACAGGGTTGAGGTTAGATGCTTAAGAAATTATGTTGTGTGATTACAAGTAGCCTGGCAAGTTTTATTTGTTTTTGCTCAATGTTCTTGTCTATTGCATTTAGGTCACTGGCATTTACAGGGCTATGAGTGTCCGAGTTGGGCCGACACAAAGAACTGTGAAATCACTGTTCAAGGCATGTCTTCTCTTATACTTTTGTTAGATTATATAGCTCTCCAAGCATTTCAATTTATATATTAAAAATATTTCCTTTGCTTGCAGACGTACATCGATTGTCTTCACATAAAGAAAACTGATAAGTCAAGAATGACGACTGAGGATCCTATGGAAGCTGATAAGGGCTCACAAAGGGTTGCTGACGATGTTCAGTTTGATGAAGACAAGGTCTAATAAATTACCCATCCTTCTCTTGCAGTCTTCAGTTATATTGGCTACTTGTCTCATGACCTTTTTCAATACTGCAGGTGGAAGAGTTGAAAGATTTATCCAAACAACCGGATATATATGAAAAACTAACTAGGTCATTAGCACCCAACATTTGGGAGCTCGATGATGTGAAGAAAGGTCTTCTTTGCCAGGTATTGTTTGTGCTATTAGATATTCATTTTTTTGCTCAGATAGTAACAGCAAGTTCTTTGCCTTCAATGTAGCTTTTTGGCGGGAATGCTCTGAAGTTGCCATCTGATGCTAGCTTTCGTGGTGACATCAATATTCTTCTGGTTGGTGATCCTGGAACCAGCAAGTCCCAGCTACTCCAGTACATACACAAGCTTGCTCCACGTGGCATTTACACCAGTGGAAGAGGGAGCTCTGCTGTTGGATTGACTGCTTATGTTGCCAAGGATCCTGAAACAGGGGAAACTGTATGATATGCTTTTCTTACTCTTTCTTACCTTGGTGTTAATTAGAATATTGGACTTTTATGATCGATTTCATTTATGAGTTATGAATAACCTCCAGGTTTTGGAAAGTGGAGCCCTTGTGCTGAGTGACAGAGGCATCTGTTGTATTGATGAATTTGATAAGATGTCTGATAATGCAAGGAGCATGCTGCATGAGGTTGGTTATGCATCGCCTTTCTTGTTCCCTGTTAAGACATGACTTGAGAATGGGTCCAATGTTGAAGATGAGAAAAATGTGTATCCTAACAATGCTTGAGATGCCTTCCAAGTTTTGGCAGTTTTAAATTTTAGGCTATCTGCAAATTTTGCATGAATAAGTTGCTATATATTTGTTCTTCTTTTGGGAGAAGTATTATAAGACGAATGAGGTGTCAAATATTTAAACTCAGGACTCAAGTGCTTTCCATATTTTAACCATTCATTTTCATCTTATTCATGATATGAAAGTTGATAACAATTGATCCAGTGTACTTCTATTTCTAGGTCATGGAACAACAAACTGTTTCAATAGCAAAGGCTGGTATAATTGCATCTCTTAATGCAAGGACTTCAGTCTTGGCTTGTGCAAATCCTAGTGGTTCACGCTATAATCCACGTCTGTCCGTGATTGACAACATCCACCTGCCCCCAACCTTGTTGTCCAGGTAAGATGATGCTTACCAGCTACCAAATTCTAGTGGTCTCAACTCGCAAGGTCTTTCGTATTGTCATACAAGTATTAGCTAGGCCATGTTTCTTAATTTGGATGCTTAATTGATATATATAGTTTCGAATATTGTTGGAGGTGTTATTTCAGTACTCTTTGTGGTTCTTGACTTTGAATCATGTTTGTCGGGCTATAGTTAACTGTAATTATGTGTAGAAATAGGTATGATAATGCTCATATCTTTGTTATGCATGTATTTTTAACTATGGTGCCATCCTAATCGGTATTTGTTCCACAGATTTGATTTAATCTACTTGATTCTAGACAAGGCTGATGAACACACAGACAGGCGTTTAGCTAAGCATATTGTTTCTTTACATTTTGAGGACACAGAGGTTTGAACTCTTATCATCTGTCATGTATAAGGTTTTTGTCCCTGGGTTTTCAATTTAATTCCTTGCCTTTACTTGCAGATTGCTGAGCATGATGTCATAGATCTAGGTACATTAACAGCGTATGTGAGCTATGCTCGCAAGAATATTCACCCAAAACTATCTGATGAAGCTGCTGAAGAGCTAACCCGAGGATATGTTGAGATGAGGAAAAGAGGAAATTTCCCTGGAAGCAGTAAAAAAGTAGGATACATTTAGTTAACATGTCCCCTTTTCCTCATCATCATTGATTTTCATGATATTGATAGATACAACCCTGTATTGCTATCAAGATTTTGAATTGTGGATCAAGTATGATATTTTATATGCCTGCTTGCTAACATCTTTTAACTCTTTTTCTGCATTTTGACATGTCTACAGGTCATCACAGCGACGCCAAGGCAAATTGAGAGTCTTATACGCCTCAGTGAAGCCTTGGCTCGTATCCGCTTCTCGGAATGGGTTAGTTACCGCAGGTTTATCTTAGCACTGATATAATGATTTCATTATGAAGCAAATAATGAAAATCCATTCTGATATTTGTAGGTTGAAATGAGAGATGTAACTGAAGCATTCCGGCTTTTGGAAGTTGCCATGCAGCAATCAGCAACTGATCACTCCACTGGTAATGTTTTGCCATAGTTATTTCCTTATTGTGTTTTCTCCCCATAAGAACAATCTAACGAGTCCTTCCATTTCTTCCCTTTGTGTTTCTCTCTAAAGGAACCATTGATATGGATCTTATCACCACCGGAGTTTCTGCAAGTGAAAGGATGAGGAGGGAGAGTGTGCTATCAGCAGCACGCAACATAATAATGGATAAGCTGCAACTCGGGGGACCTACAATACGATTGTTAGAGGTAAGCTGATTTAGTAGATTTAAAAGTGGAAGCCTTCATTAGTTCCGAAAATCAACCGCTTGATCGCCCGTACTGGTTAATCCTACAGTTACTGGATGAACTGAAGAAGCAGAGCTCTGGCAGTGAAATCCACCTTCATGATGTGAGAATACAAGCTTCTATCTTCGTTTAAATCCCCATTAAATATGAATATATGTTCAAACTGATTAATGCTTATGTTTTTTTCATTTGTCCTCTTTGTCCAATTCAGCTAAGAACTGCAGTTGCAACTCTAGCCAGTGAGGGATTTGTTGTTCTTCATGGCGATAGCGTGAAGAGAATATGAAGATGAGAAGCTACAAGAAAACCCGAAACCATCGAAGCCAAACCAAACATCCGGCTAATGTGCTAACTGTGAATGCTGCCTTGCGAGCATTTTCTTTGAAAGAAGAGAATTAATGGAGTGTTAGGTATGTCATTAAGTAGTTGATTGTGACTTGTATCATATCCTTAGCTGCTTCTAGTAACATATGGATGGCTTATGCTTTTCCATTTCAAAATGTCGTAAAATATTTTTGTTAAACGATAAATTAAGTGATACCAAGTCCAAAAGGTTATTTGGTTTATCTGTTGGGTACATAGATTATGAGGTGGACTAAATTCAATAGAGAAAAGTTGGTTAGCTTTGAGAGTACGTGAAGTGGAACTGAACCTAATTCAGAATTTATGCTCAATCTAGGTAGGTAAATAAGTCATTTAAGGTTCATTACATGGCGTATTTTTCCACATTTTAATCAAGGGTGAAACAAAATAAAAGTCCAAATTATAAACCAAAAATTACTGAATTTAACCAAAATTCAACCTTTGAACTTTAGACGATTATAGCTAATATAAGGTTTAAAATGATATTTCATCTAAATTTTAAGGATTATACAAATATTTTTATAAAGTTTAAGGGTTTATATTTTTCATTAATGTGTCACATGGTCAAACTAATAATAATTAATGATTTAATGATTAAAATATAACAATCGATAACTTGATCAGAATTTAAAAAAATCAATAATATAAATGATTAAAATGTGTTTTTTTCGAAATCAATGATATAAATAAAACTGGAACGAAAATGATTATTCTTGCAATTAATCCTATGAACTATTTAGTCATATATCTCAAAAGTAAGAAAGGTAAAAAAATACAAGACAAGGATTATTAGTATTAACTTTAAAGAAAAAAAATCTTTAAGATAACTCGAACGGTGAAAAAAGGAAAAAAAGGCTTACGTGGAGGACTGTGGTAGCGAGGGAAATCTTACACTATACAACTCTCCCCCGGTTTCCTTACTCTCTTCGCTCATGACCGTGTTTTTTGTTTTCTACTACGCTCTCAATTATCTGAACCCCACAAAACCAAATCCCAAAAAAAAAAAAAATACTCCAAGAAAGAGATCCATCTCGCTCCGCTCTCTCGTGATCGGAAAAATCAACACAGTCGAAACGGTGTAGGACTCAATGGCAGACCGTGGAGGATGCTGCCCTCCGATCGATCTGTTCCGTTCGGAGGCGATGCAATTGGTCCAGCTTATTATCCCCATGGAGTCCGCTCACCTCACCGCCTCTTATCTCGGCGACCTCGGTCTCCTTCAATTCAAAGACGTGCGTACTCTTTCTCTTTTACTTGTTAATTATATTTCTTTTATATGCTCAGGTCTATCGGAATCTTTAGTGTCTATTTTCGGTGCTTTAGTCTTTGATCGAAGTTCATAGAAACCGTAGACTTGAAATATGTGCTTGAAATTCACCAGAGTAGGTATCGGCCTATCGATTATTTGACGATTACTAATGCTAGGGTTTTTGTTTTGTCCATTGATTCTTTATTTTTGTACTGTTCTTAAATTAAAGTTCATAAACGCTATTTTTATTTTAAATTTTTTAAGATTTGACGATCAGTATTTAAGACTGATTTTCTTTTTCTGATGACATCTTACAGCTCAATTCGGAGAAGAGTCCATTTCAGCGAACTTATGCTGCTCAGGTATTTTTTTTTACTTCCTTTTAATTGGTGATTGGTGAGTGAACTGTGAACTTTGACGCATGCTGTTGCTGCTCATTCTTTCTTTTTCTTCTGCTTTGAAAAACTTCAGTGTCGAGGATTATATACTAGTAGCATTTTTCACTGGCTGAAGAATGTTGATAATAAATAATATTACCTCTCTTGAACCAAAACTACTACAACACCTGACCAAAATGTCGGTTTCTGATTTGTTGCATGCACTTTATGGCATATGCTGGTGTTTAAGGTAGTCCTACTCCTAGAAGAGTTCAACTGGTTTTATAGGATCTTAAATGATAGATGTTTGTCTGAAACAGCTAACCCTACTGCCTTTCTATTGGATTTGAAATATTATAGTTGTGATGTTAGATTTGTTCATAATTTGCTCCTTTCCTTATTTGCTTATATATTGTGTTTTCGGTCATTGTTTGCTAACATCTCTTTCTCATGAAGATTAAAAGATGTGGAGAGATGGCACGAAAGTTACGGTTTTTTAATGAGCAAATGCTAAAAGCAGGCTTCTCCACTTCAACAAAACCTACGACAGTAACTGACATCAATTTGGATGATTTAGAGGTACAACAACTATTGCCTAGAAATGTTTCTTTTTCTCTTCTTTTTTCTTTAATTCAGTTCTTTATTTGTTATATTTTAGGTGAAACTTGGAGAACTTGAGGCTGAGCTGGTTGAAATGAATGCAAATGGTGAAAAGTTGCAACGCGGTTATAATGAGCTGCTTGAGTATAAGCTTGTTTTGCAAAAGGTATGCTTTGTTTGCTGCCCTAATCAAGTGATTTTGTGATGCCTCATTTTCTAGTTCCTACTAATATTTTTATATCATGAGAAACACCAACACATGGCTGTTGAAAAGTTGCCAACTTTGGCAGCAAGGCTATATATGTTTGGATGAGTAAAACAATTCAAAGTTGAGACACTGGACTACTAATTGGATAGAGTCAACGATACTATCCTTGTTAAAAGTTGACATAATACTGTAGTTTTCCCCATAATATGTTCTTGTTTTAATGGAATCTGAAGGATTTGAATTTGAACCTTACTCTCATTTGTAATCAAGTATTTTCTAAAAATATTTTTAACGCTCTCCACAATCAAGTAAATATCTCTTCTCAAAGGTCCGTTTGCTTTCAGCTTATAATGTTTTTTTTTTTTTATAGAAGTTGGAGGTCTCATTAAAAACTCCCTTCGTATTCGTTCACATACTAAGAAGTATGTTAACGAACATTGGAAGAAAGAAAAGAGTACCTCATATTTCATTGAATAAAACACCCATTACATACGATACCACGAAATACCCTCAAACGAGGATAAATGCCCTTACAAGAAACATAATCACCTAAAACTCTCGCCTTCTCGACCACAAAAATCTAGAGGCAACCACCCTATACCTAAAAAAACCTCCATCAAAAGGAAAACATCCCAACAGTTAATGATATAACATACAAGAAAACAACACCTGAAACCATTAAACCAAAAACATCCGTCTCTGAAGGGAACTCCACAAAATACCAACATGATTCAAAATCACCAAAAAATCAGCTCGATAAGATGTCTTCAATGAACCAAAACCACACTTCCTTCCCTTCAATCAAAGTATCATTGCCACTTAATTCAAAACTCTTTTCTTTTTCTTGCGTTTCTTCACCACACATTAGTTCTAAATTTCCCAGGGATAGGGGGTACCACTGGGGTGTCTTCCATTAATTGAATTGCGTCACTAGATGAACCATGAGAAGTAAAGAGACCCATCTTAAGAACATCTTCCGAGGCCCTGAGGCTAACTCCATAAGAATCCACAACCTCCATTGTGTGTGACCCCAATTTAATACTCGAATTCTCATCGCTTTTGACACTCTTTATGAGTGGAACCTCTTCTAATTGGGTACCTTCAATTGCAACATCTTCGACGGGGCAATTTAAACCTGAGGATGACACTGACGGTCCTGACAAAGAATTCTCCGATGTATCCTAGAGAGAACAAGTCAGATCTGGAGAATCATCGACTTCCTCAGGGGTCCAAGAAGTTGGTTTGAAAGAAGGCTCAACTTCATGCACCATGATTTCATATAAATTAGAGCCGACCTTCAAACTCAACGACTCATCAATTCTCACTTTAGACTCTGTGAGGATTTGAAGTTTTGCACGATCAAAAGATAAAGGAAATTGAGAGCTTTCATCAATTGATTTTAGTTCGCCCCACCTAGCTGCAATGTTCTTGAACGTACCCCAATTCCACTCGTGAAACGGAATCCCTTCGCAAACAACCCATACTCGACGACATTGAACCGCTAGACTCTCCGACCAAGGTTCAACTCTGGAAAACCACTTTGCAAGATTCTCTGATTGTTCATTCTTAACCCTTCTCAACAAAGCAGAGTCCTCGAATATCATGAGAACTACATTCCCAGCAGCTCTAATTAACGAGAAACCATTGAGATCTTTGTCTTGCATTTGGCTAGCAAGATCACCTATTTTGGTATAGTTCTTGCACCACCCCATTAGGCAGTTATCCAAAACTTGAAGTTTAGCTTCGTCGACCACACCGATTACTGTATGGAGATTGTTACTTGTAACATCTTCCCTCTCATGCTTTTGGTGAACCACAGGCAAAGACTTTCTCCAAAAAGAATGTCTTGGGTTGTATATGGCAAAAGAGACTCCAATTTTACTACCATCAATGCGAGCGCCATTCATCTTTGAGATCGCTCTCCTGGCTTCTCCAATCTTTGCAAAGCGAATGAACCGAACCGAAACCCCTTTGAATTCCTTTTTGTTGGAATGAAGGCGTCAATAACCTGACCGTATGGGCAAAATAACGATCCAAACCGCTTCCAATGGATCTTCTCTGGTAAATTAACAATGTATAACGTAAAGCAGCCAGTTCTATACCCATTGTTGATTCTTGGATAATCTTTCTTCCACCAGTGATTAAGACCATGGGAATCCTGTGGTAGGATTTCCGCCTCAGAAATCTGCGCAATGGCCTCTTCCACGCTCCTTGCTTCAACCAACGAATCATCCCTATTCTTGTTTGTCACCAACACCATCCTCTCATATTCATCTGCTTTATAATTTTTGCATAAATTTCTAACTTCTTTTTCTGTTTAGGCTGGTGAGTTTTTTGCTTCTGCTCGACGCAGTGCTACTTCTCAGCAGAGAGAAATGGTGTCACGGCAAATGGGTGACGAATCCATAGAAACTCCTTTACTGCAAGAGCAAGTATAGAACCATCTTTCTTTGAGCGTGATGTACTGTCTAATCTATATAATGTCATGACTCTTATAAAAATCTCCCTGTTGTTTGTAGGAAGCATCCACAGATTTATCGAAGCAAGTCAAATTGGGCTTTATTACTGGCCTTGTTCCTAGGGAGAAGTCTATGGCATTTGAGAGGATTTTATTTCGTGCAACTAGGGGCAATGTGTTCCTCAAGCAGGCTCCTGCTGAGGATCCCGTCACTGATCCTGTTTCTGGAGAGAAGGTGAAAATTATTTTAATGTCAAGAATGAGATATATGAAGTATTTTCATCACAAAATGCAGACGTGTATCACATACATGCACATGAAGGAATGCTTCTTATGTTTTTATGTTAATCAGACATGCAAAGTCTTCACCATGTTGATGCTGACAATTCATCATTTATTTGAAGATCATAGGTTTTATGTTCTGAAAGAGTGTTTAACAAAGTTATTGTGCAGACAATGTGGCATTTCTTTGAAGATTAGATTTTATGTTCTGGAAGACTGTTGAACATAGATTACTTTGCATGCATTCATGACTACCCATGTACAATCTCAATGCTAAGTTAAAATTGATTTAATTTTCTAGTTTATGGGAACAGTAATGATCTTTGTGTAGGATTTATGGTGCAATCCACTCAAATCATGCTTATATGTGCTGTTCAGGCTACCTTAGTTTTCTGAATTTTGGCCTTGTGAAGAGAAGATCATTTGTCTAATCTTGTACCTTGTTTTCTGTTAACTTTGATTTGAATGTTAATCTGCAGATGGAGAAAAATGTATTTGTGGTATCTTACTCTGGAGAAAGGGCAAAAAACAAAATTCTGAAGATATGTGAAGCTTTTGGTGCTAATCGTTATCCTTTTGATGAGGACCTTGGCAAACAAGGTCTAATGATCAATGAGGTATGGATATTTTATTTAAACTGTCACTTCTTTGTACTTCCCTGGCCTGCTGCTTGCATGTTTCACATTATCTGTTTGTTCCTCCAGAACATCCCTGGCCTTCCAGTTATCTATCAAGTAAATTGTCTGAATATGCGTGTATGCTAGATCTTTCCTTGCACAAACCGCTTTCAACTTTACTCTTGATGTGGAACACCGCTCCTCTTCCTTTTCTTTCTTGTACCAATTCTTTCAATGCATCAAGGACACTTGAATTTTTATGCATTTCAATTGTGACTGCTAGGAATGTTGTTACCTGACTGATTTATGTGATCACTGTAAATTTTAGGTTTCTGGAAGAATTTCAGAGCTAAAAACCACCATAGATGCTGGATTGCTTCTCCGGGACAATCTGTTGCGGAGTATTGGGGATCAGTTTGAACAATGGATCATTAAGGTCTGTTTAAACTATAAATCATGCTACATGATGATTATCTTTTCTCAGTTTTTCATTGATTACACTTATATTTCCTGTTGCACATGAGATGATATTGCACTTTTGAAGTCAAACTGATGTTCTAACTTCTGTGAGTAAACTCTATTTTCTTTAATCCTTAAGGTGAAAAGGGAGAAATCAATTTATCACACTCTTAATATGCTCAGCCTTGATGTAACAAAGAAATGTCTTGTTGCTGAGGGATGGAGTCCTGTTTTTGCCACAAAAACAGGTACTAGTTTTCTGCTTCTTGTGCTTTACATTTATGCATATATATTGATTACTTATGCATAGGATTGAGCTTTCTTGGTGCAGATTCAGGAGGCACTGCAGCGGGCTGCATTTGACTCCAGCTCTCAAGTTGGAGCCATTTTTCAGGTCTTGCATACAAGAGAATCACCACCTACCTACTTCCGCACAAATAAATTTACTTCTGCTTTTCAGGAAATTGTTGATGCATATGGGTAAGTTCAAAGTAAGATTGTTTGAAACCGTTCCTGTGTTTCACAACAGAAAGAAAACCATATATCCATCATAAATGATGATACATAATAGTTCTGAGTTTTTGAGTGTATCTTGATTGATATACATGCACACACTTTTTAGGCATTTTGTGCATATTGATGTGGCCGTGATTATCTGCTTATATATGCATTTTTATCTGCTTATATAAACACGACTACTGATGCCGTTTAGACTAGGGCATTAGGTGCTTACAAGTTATCTGTTGTTTTCCACTTAATTCGGTGCCATGATTTTTGAAAGGGTTAAGATTCAAAATACAGCTTGTTGATATTAAGGAGATACTAGGGATGTCTTGATTAATAAAATTATTGATTTTCAATCTGCATACACCAGAAAATAGAGATCATAGTAGAAGTGCTCCTCTTAATTCATTTATGAAGATCCTGCAGAGTTGTTTAAGGTTACTATTGATCTCAAAGATGAGATTATTCAGTATCAATTTCTGTGTTATTTGACCTATATCTATTGGTGTTACATTCTTGTTGCGTATTTAGTTTTTGTTTCCCAGCAGTAAATACACCTTACTATTGAGTTCCAGCCCTGGTTTCCTGTTGGGGAGTATGTATTGTCTGTATGTTATGCATTAATGTTCATGTGCTAATTTTTTGGTAAAGAACATAAATACAATTCTTTTCGTTGCATTTTATTGCAGGGTGGCTAAGTATCAAGAAGCAAATCCTGGTGTTTACACAATTGTTACATTCCCTTTTCTTTTTGCTGTCATGTTTGGTGATTGGGGGCATGGAATATGCTTATTCCTTGCAACATTATTTTTTATTGTCCGGGAAAAGAAACTTTCTAGTCAGGTAAACCTCATGATGCTTTAATCAAGAGTTCAATTTGCACAACCCTATGGCTTATATGCTGATATGAAAAAAATATTTTGGGACATGTTTATTCCTGCATTTTATTTTTTCTTTTAAGTTATAAAAGAAAGAAATATATCTTTATTCATACCTCTCAAGGATAGTGATTACTTGGAACCCTTTGTCCCATTTAATTTGGACAAAATTATTTCCAAGTTTAATCATCTTCGAGATTTATATAATGTTTTGTTTGTGTAAGAGTTCCGTATGTTAGTTTCCTTTTCACTTGCCAGGTAATTGCTACTTCTCATCAAAATGATTAAATACTGAAGCGGTAAGATCCGGTTATGTTTTAGTTGGGCTACTAAAGTTGTTGATGTCTCCTAATTTCATATTGTTTTTGCTAACATGGTAAATAAAAACGACATGGGATAATATTGCATGGACTTTTTTGCTTTATTTTGTTAACATCAGAGATTGGTAAGGTTCATATTGATGTGTACTGTGAACATCCCATCATAGATTTTGTTTGTAACGTGACCTTGCCTTGTCTGAGATTTTGGTTTGACGAGTTACATTCCAAGATAGAAGGGACTGTCAGTTTTACTTATTTGTGATTGTTATGTTTATTGATCTATTGTGTTTATGTTTGTTACCCAAGTAAATTATAATTATTGGAAACTGCAGAAGCTTGGAGATATAACAGAGATGACTTTTGGTGGTCGTTATGTTATTTTGATGATGTCACTCTTCTCAATTTATACTGGCTTGGTCTATAATGAGTTCTTCTCAGTGCCCTTTGAATTATTTGGCCGCTCAGCCTATGCTTGCCGTGATCTCTCTTGCCGGTATTTCACTTACACATAATGATATCAATTTTATAGAATCCACCTATTATGGTACAAGTCCCTCATGACCAGTTTTTACTTTTTTTTTACAGGGATGCTACTAGTGTCGGTTTGATTAAGGTTCGTGATGCTTACCCCTTTGGGGTGGATCCAGCGTGGCATGGTAGCCGTAGTGAGCTGCCTTTCCTGAACTCACTAAAGATGAAAATGTCAATCCTTCTTGGGGTGGCTCAGATGAACCTTGGAATTATTTTGAGTTATTTCAATGCTACATTCTTCAGTAATATTCTGAACATCTGGTAAGTCTGATATGCCAATCCAGATCTTAGCTTTTGCATATTCCGGAGATGTTGAGGCCATAGCTAACTGAAAGGTTGTCTTTCCTCATATGTTGCTCAGGTTCCAATTTATTCCTCAGATAATATTTCTTAACAGTCTATTTGGCTATCTTTCTCTCCTTATCATTGTGAAATGGTGCACTGGTTCACAAGCTGATTTGTACCACATAATGATATACATGTTCCTCAGTCCTACTGATGAATTGGGTGAAAATCAGCTTTTTCCTGGCCAAAAAACAGCTCAGGTTATTTTTCGTTCTTTTTTTAATTAATTAATATCATTTGTTGGATTAATCTACGTCTATAACTGAATATTCTTGTTCATTTCTTTCCAGCTTGTGCTGTTATTTCTTGCCCTGGTTTCTGTGCCATGGATGCTATTACCAAAGCCTTTTCTTCTGAAGAAGCAACATGAAAATGTATTACACTCTCTCAATTTCTTGTTGAACCTATTTTTAAGTTTTATTTTCACCATGATTCCCCTCACTTATTATACGCACCTTTTTTAGAGGCACCAAGGCCAATCCTATGCACCACTCGAAAGCACAGATGAAACTCTCCTTTCTGAGGCAAATCATGATTCTCATGAGGAATTTGAGTTTGGTGAAGTCTTTGTGCATCAACTCATACATACCATTGAGTTTGTGCTTGGTGCAGTTTCGAATACAGCCTCATACCTTCGATTATGGGCCCTCAGGTATGTATGTCATTAGTAATTTTAGTTTGATGGTTTTGATTGATTGCACAGTGTCATGTAGAAATGTGTAAACGAAGTTGACACGTTTCCTCAAATGTTCTTTTGTATGAACATTGTCCAATTTAAGTTAAGCCTGACTGCAAACTGCACTTTGTTTCTTCCCTGTTTTGCAGTCTTGCTCACTCGGAGTTGTCAGTTGTGTTCTATGAGAAGGTTCTTCTTCTTGCTTGGGGGTACGTCTTGAATATATTCCGTGCTTATACAAATTCAACCTAAATATATAGGCACTTTATCTTATGATGTTTCTTACTCTCTCATGACTACATCCATATCTTCTTTTTATTCAATGCTTTATAGATGTAGAAGCATATGGAATGCACGATGATAACTTGCTTTTTGCTTCCTACAGGTTTAACAATGTAATCATCCTCATCATCGGCATAATCGTCTTTATTTTCGCAACCGTTGGTGTGTTGCTAGTTATGGAAACCCTTAGTGCTTTCCTACATGCTTTGAGACTTCACTGGGTAGAATTCCAGAACAAATTCTACGAGGGCGACGGTTACAAGTTCCATCCATTTTCATTTGCATTGCTCGACGACGAAGATGATTGATGCTCTTGAACCGAATAAAAAGTCATGTTGGACTTTAAAGTCGATTCAGATTTACCCTATAGAGGGAGCTGAGGAGGTGTTCTTAAGCCGCCTAAGAACGTTGCTTTTTCACCCTCCGGTTGATAATAGTTTGTTCTTGGAAGCAATAAGTGGCCTACTAGTTGGGCTGATATGTTTTTGTGGTATTGAGCTATGTCATAATACTTTATTTAATTTTTTTTCTATTTTCAGTAAATTTAAAAAAAATAGATTCTGTAATTTTGTCCATAAGGTAATTAATTTATTTCAAACTTTTATAATTACCCTGGAATAGGTGAATAAATGGAAGAATTCACGGTTGAATTGGTTCATGTAAATTGTTTGGGGTTTAAATTTTAGGTAAAGTTTTGGCTTTGGTCTTGGTCTCTTTATTATGCTCAGATTTAAGATATAATCCCTATTTAATTTTTACCTATTTTTTCATGTCTTTAGTTAGTCTAAATAACTTGGTATCGATGATTATTTTATTAAATAATACATAGATTATATATATCACCTCCTGCCTCTATCATGCTCTTAAAAACCGTAAAAATGTGTAGCATTTTAATTTTAACTGAAATAAACAACGGTTGTGAACTATTTAAATAATATATTTATAATCAGTAAGGGTTACGAATATTTTCAAAATAAATCTACGACTTAACCAACAACCAGTTGTCTAGTGGAATAAGTCTTTTGTAGTATTCGATTCGGATTAGTCGATCAATAGATCGAGTACTAGTGGTTATACTCAACAAATAAATTTACAACTTAAATTAGTAAACCATATTTGATTCAATTATTTTTTTTGAATAATTGATTCAATTATTTTTAGTTATTGAATATTGAAAAATAAAATCATTTATATTATTTAGTTAACCTACTGAAAATTGTTTAAGATACAATTTTTTTTTCAAATTGTCATTTGAACTTTTTCAAAATAAAACTAATATTTAATATTATACTAAAATTATCAATACAAAAGTTTATATTTTTTATTATACTCATATTAAATTTTATTTAACATAATATTATTATAATTAACATATTAAATAATATCTAAAAATGACATATATATATTATATACAGTTACTATATAATATAATTGTACTTGAAATAGACCTATTACTGACAATCTTACACAATATCATTATCTTTGTATTCTCAAATAATATTTTATTATTGGAAATCTTATATAATGAAACGAGGTAATATAACATTATTTGATCCAAACACATTAATTTAGTCTAAAATTTTAATATCGGTAAAGAAAACATTCTTGTAGAATGTGACTTGTTACTAAGTATTTAACTTTGAGTGTTAGTCAGAGTTTTAGACTAATTAACGGCAGCCATAGTCAACTTCTATCATCTATGAGCGTTGAAACAGTTCGAGTTCAATTTCAGGGAGAAGCAATAGCTAAAAATTTCAGGAAAAAAGATTAATTAAAACTAGCAGTAATAAACATTTCAATTGTTTTAACCCAAATTTAGAAACATGAGAGCTTTATAAAACCCGAATTAAATTGTAAAACAACATATACGGGGAAGCAAGTTTTGTAAAATGAAGAGAGGTTTGAAGCCACCCTATTGGGAGTCGGTATTAACGGCAGCAACGGTTGAAACCATGGAATCCACCCCACAGATATTGCGACCCCTGCAGATCTTGTAGAACCCATTCTCGCCCCAGTTTTGTCCCCACGAGTTCTTAATGATCCAGTATGGTTTCTCCTTCATCCGAACCGGTGCATACCCAGCTGAACCGTACCCCACCAACAACACTCCGTGATCAAGGCGTTTGGAGCATATGTAGGGACATGAAATCCCCCCAATGTAGGTCTGCATGTACACCGCATTGATTGCCACTGCATAATCAATAATTAAAAAAAAAATACTGTTAGGAATTTGTAAGCGGAAAACGAACCGATACGAGATCAACACGAAATGAGATAATATTTACCTGCAAGAGGACCATTCTTGACGAGATTAGCAGCGATTTGATCCTCATCTAAAGAAACAACACTGAAGTTAGCCACCTTGGCAGCGATCTTGGTCTTGTCGAATTTGCAGGTCCCTCGATCGGTGCCGGTGTAAGGGTAGTCCTCTTCCCGCAAAAGTCCACCAGCTTTGAGGGTATACTCAAAAGCACTGTTCATTAGCCCACCATTGCATCCAGAATCACATGAACCTTTCTCTTCGGGATCACACTGCAAACCAAACCAAAACAATTGAAATTATATTTGATTTTTTTCTTATCATGTTCATCGATTCTTTCGTTTTCGGCAGCTTAAGCAGTTATGTGACATGCATTAAAATATAAAAAATTGGGGTTGAAAATCGAACCTCATGATCGCAGTCGACTAGCTGTTGTTCGCTGAGGCTCACAAGTTTTCCGGTTGCCAAAAAGTTAGCACCTTCCAAGGCTCCTGTTGTACTAAAAGACCAGCATGATCCGCATGAACCCTAATCACAAAACCCCGTATAAATTTCATAAATAAATTATATGAAACCAGAACTTAAAATTTTGAAATTCTTTTGGGGAAAAAAAGAGAGAGAGGAAGGACCTGGTTTTTGACGGGTGAAACAGCTCCTTTTTCTCTCCAGTCGAAATCTTCAGGCAAATTATCGATAGGCAAAATCGGTGCCTCGGTCGCATCTTTAGGCAATCTCAATCTCCTTAATCCCAAATACGCCTTCCTGAACTCTCCCGGAGTCAAATCGGAGAACTGAGTCACCCCGTGAGTCGCAGATGGGTCAAGCTTCTGATGACGCGCCGCTCGTCTCAGGTTATACTGGAAAACCTTGAACCTATAACCGTGCTCCTCCTGTGACACGTACGATTTCTTGAACCGCTTCTTGAACAGTGAGAAGCGATGCTCCGCCGTCAGCAGCGGTGGCTCGGCTCCATCGTGACCGTCCGTTACTTGCTCGATCAACGGATCAACTTGGAATCCCCCCGCTGAGAAATCTCCGTACAAATCACGCCAACTGAGAAACAAGAGAAAATAACAAACATCGAAAGAACAACGCCATATTCCATTCTTTTCTTTTTTCCTCAAACCAAAAGTTTTTTTTTTCTTTTTGAAGGAAACGAGGAACGAAGGCGCGTTATTTAAAGGCAACCCAACGCACCAACAGTCGCACTATAGGAAATGATAAATTTAATATAAAATCTAAGTTCTAAGTAATTACACCGTTCTTTACTTTTTTTTTATTTTGTTCATTATACTTTTAATTTTTTTATTTTGCTCACTAAATTTTATAGATTAAATCATTTTACTTATTTTGTCGTTAACTCTCTAACGATATAATGACATGATATAAACATCAAAACGACATCGTTTTGAAAAACTCAAATATACACGTGTAATCACCATTTTTATCCTAGTAAATTATTATTACAAAAAAGGAAAGCAAAAGTTAAAAGAAATGCAAAAAGGGTACAAATTCCCTTAATATTCAGGAAATTCAATGACCCGATTGAACCGGTTGCTGCCACCATCTCCCTGCCATCTTTACTGTTTCTGTCAACGCTCAGCATCTAAACCGTTGACACCAACCCTCATCAAACATGCGCCATGCCTACAAACAGAGAATAGATGTAAAAAATAAAACTTTTTATTTTTTATTTTCATTTTTTTGTAATATGAGGAGGTTATATAAAACCCTCTTTGGAAAATGTAATGGGGACTCTTCCTATTAAAAAAGGGTAAAGTATAGTAATGGTCACTGAACATTTCTGAAGCTTGCATTTAGGTCCCCTAACATTTAAAACTTGCAATACAGTCCCCCAACATTTATTCCGTTTGCAATATAGTCCCCCAACTTAAACCACAGTTAGAAAATTAGGATAAATTATATAAATGGTCATTGAACTTTTCAGCCACTTGAATTTAGGTCCCCCAACTTTTAAAACTTGCAAAACAATCATCAATTTAATTCTAAACCCCAATTTCCAAGTAATTCAATTTTATTCTAAACCCTAAATTCCAAAATACTTAAATTAAATTCAATTATGTCAAATTTATTATTATTTAATTTCATCTTATTTCATGTGATACGTATTTTTATATAAATATAATAGTATAATTCTTATCTGTTGAAGAAATTTTTTAATAAAAAAAGTAGTTAGGATATAGAAGAGGTTGAAAATAATTCGAATTTTAAATTTATAAAATGTTATTTGAGTATAATAAAAGTGTAAACTACTCGGTTGACAACTTAACTATCTAGTTTTTACTTTTGTCATCGATCTTTTAAATTATCAATCATACCACATAATTATTTAACTGTTTCAACTAAGCCACTAGTCGTTACCAATTGATAAAAATGATGATGTGGCAGTTAAAAGGAATTGGATTATTATACATTCAGTCTTTATTATTTATATAATCAATTTGGTCCTAAATTAAATAAAAATTAATAAATTAATCATTTAATTAGGATCTGACATGTGTTAGCACATGATCATGACACGTGTCATTGGTGACACATGTTACCACCTAATTATTTATATATGCTATCAATTGGTCCTAAATTAAAAAAATTTAATAAATTAATCATTTAATTAGGATCTGACATGTGTTAACACATGATCATGATGTTATTGGTGACACATGTCACCTCCTAATTAGAAGAAAATTAAGTTACAAGAAGTAAAATTTGGGTATTGGGCAAACTCAACTGAGTCACGCAAATGAAAGATACAAGGTGGAGCCACTAAGCTAACACCATCGTTTGTGTTAAGAGATATACAATAATACATATACTAATAGTATGATCAATGCCAGAAAAAAAAGAATATATGTAAAATGGAAATAATGAGATTTGAACTTCGGCAAAAAATTTGAAAGCAATAAATGATGGGAAAATATATTTTACAATAAAAAATATATATTTGATAAATTGTTTGATAGATTTATATATTTTTTAATATTAGTTGATACAATATTTTAAAAGAATAAATTTAAGATTTATATATTTTTAAACTAAATTTAATAATTATATTTTTCATTTATAATTCTGATTATATATATAATCTTAAGTTGAGTATTTCTAATATAATTAATAATTTTAATTTCTTATTAAAAATAAAATATTCAAAAAATATAATGATTCATACATAATATATGAATATTTTTATTTATACATCTAAATATAAATATACATATATAAATATATTTTTATTCGTTGTGTCTGTGCCTTGAACT